AACTGAGCCACCCAGGTGCCCCACTAAGTTACTTTTTTGATAATTTCCACTTTGTCTTTGTTTGTTTGTTTGTTTTACAGAATACATTTATTGCAATGTGGACTGGGATTCAGATTTGAGGCTGTAAACTAAGCTGGTGGAATGAGCTTCATATATGCAGAGTGAGATATTAATGTAATTAGTATATTAAATCAAAAATCTTTTTAAAGATTTTATTTATTTATTTTAGAGAGAGAGAGAGAGTGAGAGAGCATGCAAGCCACAGGAGGGACAGAGGGAGAGGGAGAGAGAATCCTCAAGCAGACTTCCTGCTGAGTGCAGAGTCCAATGCAGCGCTCGATCCCAGACCCTGAAATCATGACCTGGGCCAAAATCAAGAGTTGGCCACTTAACCAACTGAGCTACCCAGGCACACCATTAAATCAAAAATTCTTTTTTTTTAAAGATTTATTTATTTATTTATTTATTTGAGAGTGAAAGAGAGAGAGCATGAGCCGTGGGGAGGGGCAGAGGCAGAGAGACAAGCAGACACTCCACTGAGCAGGGAGCCCAACATGGGGCTCAATCCCAGGACCCCGGGATTATGACCTCAGCCAAAGGCAGCCACTTAACTGACTGAGCCACCTAGCCTCCCCTAAATCAAAAATTCTTAATGGCAAGTTGACAGTAGAAGGAAAAAACCCTCTTTTTTTTTTAAGATTTTATTTATTAGAGAGGGAGTGCACAAGTGGGGGGCAAGGGCAGAGGGAGAGGGAGAAGCAGTCTTCCTGCAGAGCAGGGAGCCTGACGTGGGGCTCTATCCCAGGACCCCGGAATCATGACCTGAGCCAAAGGCATACATTTAACCAACTCAGCCACCCAGGTGCCCCTGAAACCCTCTTGAATTTAGCTTCTATGATGAGCAGTACATTGTACTTAAAATTTTCTTTTTTTCTTTGTTTTCTTTTTTCGTTTTTTGTTTTAATTTCAGTATAGTTAACATACAGCATTGTATTAGTTTCAATGTACAATATAGTGATTCAGCAGTTCCATATATTACTCAGTGCTTATTGAGATAAACACCACTTCTTAATCCCCATCACCTATTTCACCCATCCCTCCCACAAACCTCCCCTCTAGTAACCATCTGTTTGTTTTCTATAGTTAAGAGTCTGTTTTTTGGTTTTTCTTTTTTTCCTTTGTTGGCTGTTTTATTTCTTAAATTGCACATGTGAGTGATACCATATATATTTGTCTTTCTCTGACTGGCTTATTTTGCTTAGCATTACCCTCTCTAGATCCAACCATGTTGCTGCAGGTGGCAAGATTTTTTATTTTTTTTGGCTGAGTAGTATTCCATTGTGTATATATCCACTTTGTTTTTAATTTAAAGATGGGAAGCATAATTGTTTTCTAATCTTATTTTGATAATCCATATAGTTGAAGTCTTTATGAATCTATTTCTACTGGTGTTTCTTCTGGTTCTCACTAAAAACACTTTATTTCTTTGCATGCTAGATTATTTTTGTCTGTGTACTGTTCAGTGTCCTTGAAAGATTGTTAGCAGGTCTGTTTTGAGGTGTAGGATCAAGGTGTGTCCTCACAGAAAAGATTTATATTTGTTTTTTTTTTTAAGATTTTTATTTATTTATTTATTTGAGAGAGCGAGAAGAGAGATAGAGAGAGCATATGAGAGGGGGGAGGGTTGGAGGGAGAAGCAGACTCCCCGCTGAGCTGGGAGCCTGATGCGGGACTCGATCCCAGGATTCCAGGATCATGACCTGAGCCGAAGGCAGTCGCTTAACCAACTGAGCCACCCAGGCGCCTGATTTATATTTGTTTCTAGCAGATACCTACCTAGTAGAAGTCCTACCAAGCAAATTAACCTTAAATTATATTCACAGCTTTAAGTGTTCTTTGACCTCCTGCAAATCCACATGAAGTGCAGTTTGTGGTATTGAACACTTCCTCCTCCACAGATGCATGCATGTGTGCACGTGTGCACACATATACACTGCCTATGGGCATTGTCAAGAAATCTTGTTTGTAGTTCCCTTGTGAGGGAGTGCGGCACTTCTACTGCTTGTTAATTCCCAATCTAATGGTAAAGATCTTTGTACTCCCAGCTATGTTATTGGGAGAAGGGAAAGGGGATGATTTCTTATTACATCATTCCTTACTTTGGGTGAATCCCAGGTTTTATCTTCTATTTTCCTTGTACTTCACAAGGCCTTGAAAACCTCAGTCCCATTTTCTCCTGGTACAGCAAATACTCCGGGCAGAAGCAATTTCTTGAGCTATTTACCTCACTAGGTTCCTTACCTACATCTACCAATCACCTGATTATCATCATTTTTGATGCTTTTCAAAAGACGTTTTCTGTATTTTATCCAATATTTTTATAGTTGTTTTCTACAGGAAAGTGGGTCCAAATAGCCTAATCTGTTTTATTACTAGAAACAGATTGCCCTACTTATTTTTTAGTAAGCTGAAAAATAAACAGTAACTCCAATTCAGCTTAGCTAATTTCTGATAAAAGATTTAGGCATATGCCTCATTAAGATATTATCAGCAAATTCCTATATTTTCCTAATATCTTATGCATGCAATGTATTACTTGTTAGTAGTAAAATAATTTTTAATTAAGTTTTATATTTTTTATACTTTCTGATTTATACAGGACTGACTTCATCAGTGTTTAAAGGCTAAGAAAAGTGGCAGATATGGATAGTGATTCTAGGCATCGTCTCGTCCCTGAGGTAGATCATGAAATAATAAGTCCTGGACCTATGAATATCCAGTTTGATTCATCAGATCTAAGATCCAAAAGGTAAGTGATTAAAATAAAACATTTATTTTTATAACTAGGGTTTTTTGATTATTAGACTAGGACTAACTATGTAACCAAATATATGTAGTTTTGAATATAAAATATCCAGTTACTTAACACCATCTGTATGTTTGTATGTGGAAGGGAAAAAATATGAATACTCTTTCATTGTTTCTATTTGACTTTTTTGACTAAGCTCACCATTTGTGCTGTGAAAGGGGTTGGGTTAAATTTTAAAAAGTAAGATGCATTTATGTAATTCATTTAACAAATATATATTGATTACCTACTTTGTGCAAGGTAATATGCTAAGTACTGGGGATAAAACAGTAAAATTAATACGTAATCCTTACCTTCGCTGATCTTAAATTCCAGCAAATAGTTTAAGATAATTTGAGTTTAAAGTTCATTTCATTGCATACCTGGAAAACCCCAAAGAATCCACTGAAAAATTATAGAGAATTCAGTAAAGTGGCTGTTTACAAAATAAACAAAAATAATAGTATTCCAGTAAGAAAGTGTAATGGAACAAAAGAAAAAATAAGAGTAGCCCTAACAGTGTGCAAAATCTACATGAGAGAAACTTCAAAATAAGATTTAGAGTATTTTTTCATATCTGAGATGCTGATTTTGAGTTGAACTGTTCTTCTTTTTGTAATATAGCACACAAAGATAAACTGCTACCAGTACACCTGATACAATAATCTCTTAGGACTTAGAGATTTTTTTTTTAATTTACTGAAAGAACTCTTGAGCTTATTTGGTATTTTATCATACATTTCTTATGCAATTATAAAAATGAAAACATAAAATATTTCAGTTAAGATATTACTAATACTTTACATTTAGAATATGATTCTTTGCAATCAATTTTCTGACTTAGTGTCATCAAAATTGTTTTTTTTCCCCTTCCCACACCCAATTGTCCTTCGTATCATTAAGAATGTTAATAATGTAGTATTTGTTAAAAGAATTTTCTTTCAAATCACTGACACTTTCTTTAGTTTGGATGCTTGCACTTTCCTGATTTTACCAGAAGGTGTCATAGAAGTTTTTCTGACAATAATATGGCTCATATTTCTTCTCCAGTGGTTCTTAAATGGTTTGATGACTGAAATGACCAGGAATTACAATTACCTGTCATACCACCAGGAATAATTACTTTTATGACAGCTGCCTGGCTGACAGTGATTAAAAGATATCCTGGATTATGCAGATGATATGTCCATATTTTAGAAGTGTATATATTAGAATTGGTAAAATATGACATATAATGAAAAGGCATATTTTGCAGTCAGTGGAAGGACTCTAAAATACAGTCTTTGCTCTTTAAATTTTAGTCCATAAATTTAATGTCTCCCCCCACTCCCAGAAATGCCAGTAGCCAGTTCCAAAGTTTATATGGCCCAGCAGTTTCACTTCTAAGCATTAACTCACAATGTCAAATACTATATGTACAAAGTTGTTTAATGCAGTATTTTTTTTATAATAGTAAAAGATTTAAAACAACCAGAATATCTTTTCTTACAGGACTGGGTAAATAAATTTTGGCACATTGATACAATGGAGTATTTTTCACCCATTAAAAAGAAGGCAGTGGCTTTATTACATATCAAAATGAAACAAGTCTTCAACTTGTTAAATCAAAAAAAGTGCAGAACAATGTATATAGTGTACCATCATTTGGGTAAAAATAAATAAACTGTGTATAATACAATATGTATAAATGATTCTGGAAGAATAAGTAGTAAATTTAAGAGTGGTTGCCTCCTCAGAGAGAAATAGTGCTTGAGGTGGGAGGTGTGGCAGATGCTGTCTGTTTCTTGCCCACAGAATCTTAATTTTTTCAACAGGGGGACTAGGTTCTAATCTAGGAGATAAAGGAAGAGTGATTTAAGCTAGCCTTCATAATCCTATTTCCATTTTCCAGATACTTAATTTTTTAGTCTTTCTTGAAGCTAGAGATGGCAGTGTGAAATGTATCATTGTCATTTACATAGTGACCATCACAAAAGATAATGAAATGAATCTTAAAATTTTCATTTGTGTATTCCACCATCAAGTGAATACAAGAAATTATGAATGCTGATTGAATGCTCAGGATTTTCTTGAAACCTCTGAATTCTATGATAAATAATTGACCACTGTGACAATAGAATATAGGTCATTAAAGTGCATTCCATTGCAATAAGTTGGCAGGAGTTCAGACAGTTCTCTGAGAATCTGTTTAACCGTGTAGATTAAATGGAAATACATTTTCTATAATGAAACTTGTCAAAATGAGAAGGGATCAACTATTGACAATCATGGGATAACTACCTAGGTGAGCATGTTTTAAGGAAGGCAAATATTTATAGGCACTTCGCAGTATTGAATGCTAATTTGCTTGTGAATTAATTCTGCTTAAGAAAACAGGAACTATTATTTGATGAGGAAAAAAAGTAGGAGTACCTAAAAACATTGTTAGTTCTATTAAAAGATGGGTTACTTCACTTTGTATGCATAAAAAAAACCTCAGACACACTGAGGAAAGTTATCTTCATTAGAAGAACCAGCTTAGACAACTATTTCTAGAACATTGATCATTTTGGATCATAACTTTGGTGATGTCCCATTACAATTTTACCTGTGTAATATTATAATTTAGATATATTTTAAAATCTGTTCTTAAAATTAGGCTTAATTTAGCCTCATCTTCAGAGGTTTGTGAAATGATGAGTTTCATCATTATTCTAATATGCATTATGATAAATATCAAGTAGTTAAGATAGCATTAGTCCTTGTGCTACCTAAAAATCATCTCACATGTAACCACACTTTGGGAAACTTTGGCCATCAGAGTATAGAAAACAACATTTGATACTAATTTTAGCTTGCTTTTCCTCAGTTTAGCTTGTGATTAATTTTATCTCTTACACTAGGTGGCAATCAAAATCATGTATCAGTTCAAATGTGACAATTTTAAGAACTCCTTTGAACTGATAATGTGCTGGATCTGCTTATCACATTGGTGGAACGGGGGTCTAATTAGACTCATGGAGGATGAAGCTTGTCACTGTAGAATAGGAATACATGCCATAACCATTTGAATCATTTGAGGAACTTCTGCCAGCTATACATGTACACTTTTCTCTCTACACACCTCTCTTCCCCCTCAGTTTTTTGTCTGGCTTGGGGTGGAGTTAAGAATGTGGGTGGAGGGACAGAAAAGTTTAGAAATCTCCTATGTCGGATGTGATAAATTCCATTGGCAATCACTAGTCCGAGAGATTGTTTTCCTGCTTTTCCCAGACTTTCTGGTAACCAAAGATAGAGCTGGTATTCAGGGTTGCTTCATACTGTGCTACTGCTCTGGGATTATGCCCCTTGAGAGTTGAACATTCCAGCTGGCCTGAAACCAGACTGTGAAGTGGTTAATTTCTTTTTGAGCTCTTTTTCAGTTTTCTTCTACCAACATTTCCTTTTCCATTTTTCCTAGGGCCTAGGGTTTTCATGCTCCTTTTGTATCCACAGTGTTCCCCAGGGCAATAATTCACCCAGCAGTTTCCTCTTAGGCAATGCTTGGTAAAGCATACTTTTCCTCACCCCTTTTTCACTAGTACTTATCTGTCCTATTCTTGTAGGGATCTGTTGTCTCTTTGCTGTTTTAATGGGAAACAGTCTGAGGTGTCAGAGACCTAGTCTTTTACCTTTTCCATGGCTATTTCCATTTTAATGTGGAGAATCCCAGAAATATAAAAGCCTAACCTAAAAGTTAGATTTTTTTTTTTTTTTTGGTAATTGACAATGTTGCAAGAAGTCTGGTAAGCCAGTGGGACAGAGGTAGATATTGAAAATAAGCAGCATTCCTGGTGCCTTCAAACACACTATGCTACGGCCCCTGGTTTCTTAGAATGTCTACTAGTCTGCACATATATAAGTTGGCCTCTTTCTGTTTCATCTGGCAATAATACTATCCCTGATTAGCAGCCTGAATTGACTCTTTTGGGTTCTGGGAGAGAGAAGGAATAACAAAGCAAAGTGAAGAGTGTATTAATTTATAAGGGTAGATCTGGGCCCAATAATAATGATTGGAAGTGGTTACTAAGGCTTGGTAGTTCCATAGTTAGGGATTATGGAGATGTATAGCAAGAGATAAAAGAGTAGTTTTCCCAGGACTGTTGGTTTCCAGAGCTGCATAAATTACATTTTTTTTTTTTTTGAGGAATGTGCCATCCATGTTAATTAGATGGGACTAGGGTCTTGACTATATATCAGTGACATGGAACGGACGGCCCACTTGCTGATTACAGCACTCCTTCTGTATCCTCCCTCTCTTCCTTGTTTTTCCTCCTATTCTCTTCCCTCTCCTGTCTACTTCTCTCACCCTTCTTCCCCCCGTGTGTCACTCCCCACATTACTTTTCCACAATGGAACCCTTTTTTGCTAAATGCTTACATACATCTTTATAAGTCTATGTGCATTTGGAAATACATCAAAATATGAAATGATTTTTATCTAATGGATGATTTTCATTTTCCTCTATAACTTATATATTATCTTCAGTATAGACAGTGTACTACTTTTATAATGAGAACCAAGTTATTCAGAAAATATAGCATTCAGGGGCGCCTGGGTGGCTCAGTCAGTTAAGTGTCTGCCTTCAGCTCAGGTCATGATCCCGGGGTCCTGGAAATGAGCCCCACATCGGGCTCCCTGCTCAGTGAAGATTCTGCTTCTCCCTCTGCCCCTCCCCCTGCTCATGCGCACTTGTTCTCTCTCTCTAATAAATAAATACAATCTTAAAAAAGAAAAGAAAATATAGCATTCCTATAATTTAGGATAAAAGTAGTATATGCAAAATGAAAACCCATTTTCTTAAAAGCATTGTTTAAATCACCTGTGCTTCTGTGGACTGTTACAAATCATGTTTTTTCTCTACTTGGTGGAGCTTTTTTAGTAGGAGGGTATAAGGAAGTTTCTGACAACAGAAGCATAAGGAAATAAATTCCATCACATAGAGGCAAGAGTTGTTGAAATATTTTGGTATATTTCATCTTGTCCTTTTCTATGATTTTTTTAAAGAGGTCACATAGTCTATACAATTTAATATACTGCTTATTCAGTTTAAATTCATTACTTCTGCCTTTTATTCCCTAGCTATCTCCCTGCCTGCCTCCTTCTCTATCTCCGTCCCTCTCCATTTGCCTCCTCCCGTCGTTCTTTCTTAATATGTTTTCCTTTTGTCAGTAAACATCCACTAAGCTCCTGTAGTGTGCGAGAAAGTGCTCAAACACAGCCCCTACCTCCAGGGAAGGAGAGAGGTACACACTGAAAAAAAGGGAGTACTATGATGAGCAGTTATAAATATTTTGATTTTATTTTTTTTTTAACTCAGTGCTCATTTTTCATTAGGAAAAATACTGGTTTATCCCATCCTGAGCCAGCATTACCAAGAACTCTGTGGAATTATATCCCTGTGAGTAACTATGCTCTAGGGTCTGGCTTAGCCCAGCCAGGAATACAACAAGGCCATTTGTAGTACTGATGGCTAGGTGTTTTGGGGGCTTTCTGTAAGGCACTGCTCTGGGTAAGAACATTTGTTGTAGCAGTTGTTTTGACTGAGGTTGAAGTTCTTTCATTTGATTTTTGTTTTGTTTGTAATATGTTGGTGGTAGATTTTCTAAAGGATTAAGCTGGATGAAGTTTACTAACATCTGGTTACCAACATTTCTAAAGGAAAAGCCTATTCAGATGCTCCCTGACATAGATGTGACAAGGGCATGAGGCCTCCTCCCTCCTTATCCCCTCGGCCCGCCAGGAAGGGGAATAGAAGTCCTTATCTCCACCTCTAAGTCCCTAGGGAGACTTTCAGTGGTCTATGGCAAGAGTTAGGAAACTTTTTTTATAAAGGGCCTGATAGTTAATACTTTAGGCTTTTTGGTCCTATGAATTAAATTTTGCCATTGTGGGGTGATAGTAGCCATAGAATACAAGATTACGTGGACATGGCTGTGATCCAATGAAACATGCCATAGGCTGGATTTGTCGTATCCTGCCATAATCTACCAACCTGTGATCTTTAAGAATGGGTTTTAGGGACTCAGGTGTATGCAACCATAGGGACGTACTTTGTACTGCTGTGACTCCTAGGGATACCTCTTGCCTTGTTCCTGGAAAAGTTAGAAAGTAAGGGCTACTCACCTTAATTTCACTCTGCCCCCACAACTGCTTCTAATAAAACTGTTCTCATAAAGTGTTCTGATCAAAATGGCCCTTTGGACAATAAAACAATCTCTAGCCTTTCCCTGAACTTCCTGCCCCTGATGCAAGCCTAAAGTCCTTTGGCAAGGTTATCCAAGGATTTTAACTGCCATAAACTCTAGGGATAGAGACTGAAGCCAGAATGATATATAAGGGGAAAGTACCAGGTTTCAAGGAGAAGTAAAAAGTTTTACAGTAAAAGTTGTGCTTAAAAATCACTGAAATGTCCCCCCAAAACTGTATTGTCAGCATTTTCTCATATGAAGAATTCTTTTTTTTCCCCAAGATTTATTTATTCATTTTTAGAGAGAGAGAGAGAGAGAGAGAGAGAGAGAGTGAGGGGGAGGGGCAGAAGGGGAAGGAAAGGGACAAGCAGACTCTGTGCTGAGCGACCATGAGATCATGACCTGAGCCGAAATCAAGAGTGGGACACTTAACCAACTGAGACACCCGGGCACCCCAAGGGTTCTTTCTAAACATTATGTTAAAAAATATGAATTTAAATGTATCATAATTTAATAATGTTTAAATATTATGCTGTTTATAATTATTTAAAATAATGCTGATTAGCAGCTTTCTACATACCATATTTTGATTTCCTTCTAGTAGAGTCTCAGAAGTATAATTATTAGATTAAAGGATATAAACACAATTAAGGCTTTTGATACATATTACAGCCAAATTGTTTTCTACAAAGATTGTTCCACATTATATTCCTACCAGCAATGTATGAAAGTTCCTATTTCACAATCCCCTTTCTAGCACTGTTTATTTTCTTTTTTTCCTAAAATATCTCATATTTTGTTTATAAAACTTTCCTATATGTAAAAGTTGGTTAATAGAAGCCAGTTAGCAGGGCAGATTTCACAGTGGACTCTTGCCTTTATGGTCTATTCTGTTACTGTGGCTGAGTCGGCTGAGTAACATGCCATACAGCTAACAATGGGTTCTGATCAGGCTACTACAATATTTGCCATCTGTGTTGAAAATATAGCTTTTATCACCTGAATGACCATTTGGGTAGACCATCTGTTGCTAGTGTATTTCCAGTGGCAAAGCAGAAGTTCTCTTAGTCATCTG